TCTCATTACCATACTCTGATTTGATTAGTGATAAATTAATTTTTCTTCAAGTCGAGTCTGGTTTGCCTGTGATGGTAATTGCTGAGTGATCTCTCCCTGTCCTTATCTTGACCCATGAACCTTTCATTGTATTTTCTCTCCCCCGTCCAGCTAGGAGTGATAGAGACGCTTTGGTGGGCACCTGGCATCCAGGCAGGGTCAGCTCACCACACCAAGAAAGCTATAGGACATCTGCCTCCTTGTCCTTTACTTGAGAGGTGTATAAATAAGGGAGGGAGCCCAGAAGGATGCAAAGCGTCCAAGAACTTTTTCATCAGAGAAGGTAAAGATCAGTACTATGGGGAGCAGTCTCTGATTCTGTGAAAGTCAAACAACCTGCGAGGTAAGGCACTAAAAGACAAGGAAGGAGTGCCATTTGGTTTGAGCTGGGTTTTACCCTAGTGCTGTCCTGCAGCATGGGCACAGCTCTGAAAAGCAGGCACTTGGCGAGGATGTGGAAGCAGGGAGAGTACTGAAGTTGCCCGCGGTTCTTGATGCGGCTGCACAGAGGAGATGGAGGTTTTGTGGTGAAGGGCCAATGTCGTGAAGTTACAAGGTGCTTTAGGAAAAGAAGGGAGGAAAAAAAGATTTTATCAGCAGGTCTTTGAGTACGCCTATGAAAAAATCAGCAGTGCTGAGACTTGCTGTCTTAAACTAGGGCAGATGTTTACTTCCTAGACACTTCACTTAGCTGATCTTAATATATTGTGTCAGATGCAGAAGTGTTGCTTCTCCTCATTCCAGCAAATACCGATTTCCCCATCCTCTCCCCAGCCTGACCATGGAATTCAACAAAACAGCTGCTGACCACCCTTTGTATGTTGGCCTGCCCCTGAACTGCCTGGCTGTCTTACGGAATGCAGACAAGTAAAGAATTCCTGGATTAAGATTAGTTTCTAATTATCTTAAAGTCAAATACAATGAAGTGAGGGATTGGCAAACGGGAGACTGGCAGGTTCTGTATCCAGACAAGACACCTAACCCATTTTTTTTAGTTGATCTCTGTCCATTTTAAGAGGAAGTGCAAGTAAACCAGCTGTGCTTTGTGGAGCAATTGGGCAAACGCTATCCCCAAAAGGTGCCAGAGAGGAACCAGCTCTGCTTTGGCTGCTGTTCTCTTCACCCTGTAGCAGAACTGGTGCGACACTGGCAGTCCCTGGGTGCGCAGGGGTGCAGTGAGCCCCGGGGCAGGCGCAGGAGGGGGCTCTGCTGTGTCACCAGCCAGAGCCCTGCAGCTCTGGAGTCCTGCCAGAGCGAGACGGTGCCCAGCGTGTGGGGCAGGACACCGGCGCGAGGGTGCTAAATCCTGCTTTCCACCTGTAACTAAGCTGGAGAAGCAACATGCTGTAACGTCTCCAGCTTTCTGTCAGGTAAAAAGGGATATGTCCTTTCGGGTCTGTAATACAGCAATGTCCTTAATGTAAGGGACGAATACCAGAGTGGTCCAGGCGTTGCTCAAAGCAAAGAGGCTGTGGAAGTGGAGCCAAACCATTTTATTTGAGGATAATAATTGAAATTTCTATTCGTCCTCGTGCCGTTTTTATGTGCTTTGGGTCCTTGCCTGGAAGGGGCCAAGCTGTGCATTGAAAGGGAGTAAGTACTGGTCTAATGACTATGATAGACACGGTCATCAGCAAAGCTGCTTGCACATGGCTGTACAGAAGGCAAGTAGGGATTCGAAAAATAGTTTAGGGTGCAGGGAGAGGAAAATGGTTCTTTTCTGGTTTATTTGAACTCATTTTTGAGGGAGACCAGATGAAGAGAATGACTCTGATCTTGGAAATGAAGAACTCGGTGTTTAACGTTTGGCAGTACTTAATCAAACATGCCAGTGGAAAAGACAAATGAGCCCATTGCTGTGTTAGGGAGCTGAACACCGAACGCCACCGCTGCCTCCGATACGGTACGTGTGAATGCTGGTGTGGTGTTTTGGCTATAAGAGACAGCTGTACCCTGCAACCCTTTGGGGAGGGGAGAGGAAGGAAGGCTCCCCTTCTTTCTTTTTAAACACAAGTCACTGCTTCCCATCAGCTGTTCTTAAAGTAATTTATTATGGGAAGAAACGTTTCTTCCATTCTTACAGGAAAACATTGGGAAAATTTAGATTATTCATCATAAGCTTCAATATGAGCTTATTCAGCTTGCTTTGCTTTCTGTGGTAGGCACAATACTGGCTATATTGAAACAGACTTTTTTTTTCCTCTGTAATGTGCTGATGAAGTGGGTAGATTACTAACGATGCAAATAGATTTTAATTGTGCAAAAGCTAGACACTCTGTGCCTTGAAAGGCAGTACCTGATTTGTAGAAGAGATGGTAGAAAGCAAGCTTTCACAAGTAAAATTACTGTTGAGTTTTATAAATAGCACCATACTGTAAGCAGGTGGCAAATGAAAATGATTTGGTTTCTCACAGCTGGCAGGTACTTTATTTTCGGGCATCAGGCACTCCTGTATCACCTTCAGATGCTTGACTTGTCGGAAGTGTTTGTTACCATCTACTGGTTGGTGTGGTCATTTGCAACACTTGTAGAAGCTGAGCATAAGTACTATCAGCAAGCTTTGACTGTGGCAGAAAAATTTTTGGGTGAGACGTTGAGGCTATGGTTCGTCAGCCTGGTTGGCCTGGTTGTAGGGCTGCTAGTACCCAACGGGTCAAAAAGGCCAGTGCCAGATAATGCAAGGTTGGGAATAAAATCAATCTGGTGGCTTGGTAAATACATTTTATGGGGTTAACTTTGTACTGGCAGGATTCATATTGGATCAGACTTGTCTGTCTAAGCTACTATGACATTCTGCTGGTTCAGACATCGCTCATCTTTCTGGATCTGGTATAAATATGGCGTGTGCTCAGAGTTAAGTGCTCTGGCTAATTCGGCAGAATCAAGATCGCGCCAAAGCTCTTTCCAGACCAAGTTTGTACTGCTACAGAACCTAAGGTTTTTCTATTATTTTACTTTTTTCCCCCACACTGACTGGTGCATTGGATCATGGAACTGTGGCTTGACAAAGTGAGAAGTTATTAAACTTGCTCCAGCGTGGATTTTGGATGTGGGAATACCCCGTTTCCACTTCTGTGTCTTAGTGTTTGCCAGACTGGCGCTCTGTGTGACCAGCCCTGCTCTTCTCATCCCCAAATTTACTGCAGGATGAAGAGCCTGCTCCCCAGATGGACTGCTGTACTCTTCTAGTCAAAGCAAACACCTAACAAGGGCTCTGTAGCCCCCAGGAGCCCTCGCTTGGTGCTTGTTCGGGAGAAGTGTGTACAGAGCGGTGCCTTTGAAGCCAGGCCGGGAAGGCATCGGTTGGTTTGCGCAGCTCCAGAGGCTCGGTGTGCTATTTATTGGGTGCGGGGGGCTGAGGCTGCTGTTGCAGTTCAGGGACAGCAACCCCTTGAAGTACAGCAGGCGCCGTGCTGCTTGTTTATCCATCGGGGCTCGACTGCCTCACTGTGAGTGCAGGGCTCCGTGTTCCTCCCTGCGTTAAGTCCAATTATATGATCTTGGTTTGAAGAGAGGTGTGAGAGTCATCTTCAGCAAACAATAATCTTCTTGGTGGGCTGTAAATTGTTAATAATGATTCCTTCCTATTTTTGGAAGCGATGTGCAGCATCAGTGGTTTATTGTGTGAAGACCTGGATGAGGCAGGCTTGGAGAGCAGAGTGTTTGTTGGGTTGGGTTCCTGTTGCTGAAGTTGCATGAACTGTTTCAGGGTTATCACTTTTCCCTTCCTCAGGGCTTGTAAATGCCGTCTCCGTTTGATTCTTTTCTTTCTCTTTCAGGACAGTTATTCTGAGTGACGGCCCCTGCACACGCTTCTGAGTGGTTATCATGGGCTTCATTGCCTTTCTGAAAACCCAGTTCATAGTTCACCTCCTCATTGGGTTCGTCTTTGTTGTGAGTGGACTGATCATTAACTTCATTCAACTATGCACACTAGTCCTCTGGCCCATAAACAAGCAGTTTTATCGCCGAGTAAACTGTCGCCTTGCCTATTCGCTTTGGAGCCGTGAGTATGCTTGAAGGGGATATGAGGGCTGGAGGTGGCGAGGGGAGTGGTTTTTGTTTATCTTTTTGTTAACTAAAGAAAAAACATATATGCACACATATATGTATACACACACAGACACATGAGAGAAAGAGAGAGATGGTAAGATAGACGTAGACTCAGAGCAGTTCAAAGCAGACATATTTTCCGAAATATTGGGAAACCATGCAAAAGTCAAGGGACTGATACATATTGTCACTCTGTTATTCAAAAAACGTGGGAAGTAAAGCTTCTCCCCACTCCCAACCCTATCTTGACTGGTAGGAATTGCCAGTTCTGTCTCAATACTATCTTCATCCAGCATCAGAGCCTGTGCTAAGCAATGGGGAAGGGGGAATTCACAGAGACTGCTTCAGGTATCGAGCATACATGCAATATCGCCCACGTACTTAGGAGACCAAGTCAACTGTGTGGTCTGCAGAGAGAGGTGTCTCTAGTGCAGATGCCTCTATAGCTGAACTGTGTGACAACTTCAGAGTCCTCTTACACCCTACAGTGTCCATCTGCGACACCATTGTCTCCTCTTGTGAGCAATTTGTCACTCCCTTCTTCTGCCTATGGGACGACTCTACAGTGAGTGCAGCTGCTTTGCTCTCCTCTTTCAGACCTTTGCAACTTTCTCCCTGTGGATGGCTTCTTTTTTTTCTCCTCGTACAGCTTATCGAGGGATTAGATTTCTGAAATGAATGTTTAGAAGGCTCTTTAGTCCAAATGTCACCTCCTGTTTCAGCAGTGAATCATCTAATTCGTTTCCATTCTCCATCCCCTCCCAGTATGCATGGCCACTTACCTTAGTGCTCAGCATCTAACTCCCACTTTGGGTAAATGAGTCACCTAGATGAGTACTTAAATTACAGTTGAGCAGTCCACTGACAGGCACCCACATTTCTTAAATCATCGATGTGAAGTACTACTGACAAAAACTCTCCAAAGTATCTAGTTCGGTTTCTTTTTAAGTTTGTTGTCCTTGTCCTTCCTGTGCTTTTTCTCCTACCTATCGAAAATTTTGCCTGAGAAGCACAGGAGAAAGGAAATTAAATAGAGAGTGGCAGGCAAACTGTCAGGAGAAAAGGTATTGTAATGGAAGAACTTACAGGAAGAAACTTAAAAATTAACTTGATTGGAGGGGATTGGGGGGTATAGGGGATTTTCTTTTTTATTTGCTCGTAAGAATTTCTTAATGTGCCTTTAATAGTCTAGAATCTGATCTCATCCTGAAAACTATTGTTGCACTAGTAGTCTAGTCTGGCTTTTCTGATGATATGAGCTGCATGTGCCTGTAAGGCTTGTCGGTTCAGATCCTTGATTTCTATAAGTTAGCATTGTGCATGGAAAAATCACATTTTAAATGCTGTTATCTTGTATCTTGTATACACTGGAAATAACCTACACGATTGTTCAAAAAGGTTTGGAGAAGCTGAGCAGGTAATTGGGTTGTACCTAGGATAACCCCTCATACATAGCCTATTTTAAATTAAATTATTGAGAAATTAAACTATGACAATTAATGTCAATGTTATATGGGATTGCAGAGTCCTGATGGCCTGTAGTGGAAGAGCTGACAGAATATGCACTCCGTTGTGATTTACAATGAATTAAGTAACCTGTGTAAATGCAGCAGTTCAAATGTTGCCATTCATAATGAAACACACTTCATTATACGGAAGCCTTTTGGCAGTGAACCTGTGGGTTGATATTCTGTTCCCGATGCTACGTTTTGCTCGCTTACTCCAAGCTGTTTAGTTTTAGACTGAGGGTGTTCATGTCGGAGCTGCCTGTAAGAAGCTGCTCTGCCCGTCCGGCAGAGGATTGGCGTGCAGGGGTAGATACGCAGGTGATGGTGTATCTGGTTATGTACTGTAGTCCACTGAAAACCAGGCCCTATTCTTATGGTATCTCTTTTCACATACGTAAAGCACAGCTTCAGAAGGGGAAGGAGATAGACTCAGTCCAGTGTTCATGGTGGATGATGGGGGAAAAAACATCTGTCAGACTCTGGCCTCAACGTAAACCCTTTTGCTGCACATGTCATTCATGACAGGTAGTCTGTACTTCAAGCTCTCCTACATCAGCTCCTTTCAGATGACTCACACCTTTGGAGAGCACAGCATGTTTAGTTTAGTCCGGTTGCAAAAATAACCTCTCAAATGTTAGTACTTTAAACCGAGAGGTGCGCTGTACCTCTTGTTTGCTTTGTTTCTGGGTGGCTTGCGGGGCTGTAAACCTGCCTGCTTTGACGGGTGGGAAGCCCGGCTGCAGGAGGGGGTTTGTCCTCGCAGGGTGTTGCTTGTCCTTGACTGGAAGCATCCCAAGCAGTGCAAGCGTTATCGTCCCTGCATTCAGAGGGATGGGCTTGCTGTAGCATGGGCAGGATCAGTGCCAGGCAAAAGAACTGTAACCCACACACGAAAAAAAAAAAAGGAAATGAGCCTTCTCCCAGTTATAATTACATCATTTATCAGTACACTTGTAAAGGACAATCTGTTTCCTTGTATTAATTCTCTGGCTCATCAACCCTCCTCTCTCAGTATGAACTCTGGCAAATTTCTCAGCAAAGCTTCCTCCACTATTTTAGAGTGAATGGTACAAGAAATGCTCTGCAGAAAATCATCTACACCTGCCTCTGCAGAATTTTTTTTTTATTTTGAAGAATAAACACACCCATTTTATTTTATTTTTGAGAAGAAAATGCAGCAACTGTAGCAGGTACTGTAGATGTTCCTCCTTAGTACATAGACAGCAATGGAAAGGGAAAATCGCTTGGAGTACCACACTGTGTTTGGTACCACTACTCCATTCTCCTGGCCACCTGCTTGGAAGAGCAGAGTTCTCAACTGAGGATACTCTTGCTGTCCTCTTTCCCCTTTTACTGAGCCAGGATAACCAGAGCAAGAAAGGTAAGCGATCACATCATTCGCAGAGGAGACAAAGCTGGAAAGCAATGATAGAAACCTACAGTTGGTATAAACTATTATTCTCTTTCCTCTGCTGCATTTCCAGTTGACCAGGGTTACGCTCTGTTGATCAGCAGGTTGTGTAACCTTGTCATGCCTCCAAATGAGTAAGCCTTGAAAATGATGCAGGGGAATAACCTGTGGATAAGTGGTCACACCGGGAATAAAAGTGAAAAATACAACACTAGAGAAGCTATATGTCTTCAGCAGACCAGGACTGATTTTCTGTATCATTCACCTAAATGCTGTGTTTGCCTTCTCTCTGATGTGGTGCAAAATTGGACCCACTCTTATTTCCCAGTATGGATCGATTACCCTGTCGTGATCCCACTGATCAGAAGCCCTCGTGCAGGAAGGCACTACCCCATTTTGCAAAACCAGGGCCTCCCAACAGAAAGTTGAAATACCGCATGGCAGAACCTGATGTAGAGAACCAAGGGGACGCCTTCCAGTTTTGACCCTGCAAGTTTGTCGTAGTCATGTGGGAAGAGTTGGACTTTTTAACTGCCATATTTGTGCAACCAAACTTTGATTGCATCCGTATCTCATTGAAATGAGAAAATACCAATAACTACAGTTTGCATGGAAGCAAATCTTCCTACTGGGAGAATGAACTATTCTCGTACTTTTTATAGTTGTCCCATGATACAAGCAATGCATTCCATCTGCCTTGTACTGAAATGAGAGAAACAGGCTAACCATAGCAACTACATTCCGTGCGTGCTGAATTTAAGTGGAAAGGGGTTTTTTTAAGATGAAAAAAGGGGAGGTGAAAAATAAGAAGAGTAGGTAACGAAGGAAATGTTCAGGGTGGAGTAAGAGAGAAGCTGGGATGTTGAAAAGCTGGAGAGGACAGACAGGAAGGGGCTTATTCTTTCTTTAGCAATAAAAGAAAGACACAATTTACCATTCCTGTCTTTGCTTGGCTATTTTGATAAATTAGCTTGATTCTCTGGCATTCTGACTCTGTGTTGATGACCACAAAAGGATGAAAGTCCTGTGTTCTAATATTAAAATCCATTGCAGAAGCTCTATGGCACTGTATCCCTTGAAAAGCCCTTTATTGGTCTGTTTACCTCCATAAAGCTTGTTTCATGTTGAGTAAAAGCATTAGGCTGCATCTATGCGTAATTTGTATTCCACCTGGGAGAAACTGTACTCATTTAGTGCAGCAATCAGCAGCTCAACAATCTGTTTTCAGGCATAACATTTTGTGGTTTGTTGTTTTGGTTTTTGGTTTTTTTTTCCCAGTGATCATGAAGTTTCATATTCATAATATAATGCCCAAACTGGTCACTTTTAGAAACTTGCTAAATTATCCATAATGCATGTATCTAGTGCTCTAAATACTGCTGAAGGGTGGTGATGTGATTTGGTCTATACCCGTCCAAGCTGTCATTTCATCTCTACCAGGTTGGACTGAAAAGGTTACAGTGGTGTTGGGAGTCCAAAGAGACTAGGCACTGAATGGGGCTGTAAATGAAACACTAAATGCTTTCTGTAAGCTGCCCCCCTAACTCTTCTCTCTGTCCTCATCGTGTTTTTTAGAGTTGGTAATGCTGCTGGAATGGTGGTCAGGCACAGAGTGCACCTTGTTCTCAGACGAGGCCACGGTGAACACCTTTGGGAAGGAACATGTCATCATCATCTTGAATCACAACTTTGAAATCGATTTCTTGTGCGGCTGGACTATGACAGAACGCTTTGGAGTGCTAGGGGTACGTGGGGCCATGAGCTTTCCCTTCACCTGGAGGATGATAGGTATATTTAAAATCCATGCATATACAGTTTCTTTGCATTTGAGTTTCCAGATACAACTCCATCAACTCTTGTTGTCTTAACTTTAATGTCTTTGTTTGATCTCATTGTATAAATCAACAAATGACATTTTTGGATTGTTGTTTTTGTTTTTCTCCAAGAGTTCCAAAGTTCTTGCTAAGAGAGAGCTACTATATGTGCCCCTAATTGGCTGGACGTGGTACTTCCTTGAGATTGTCTTCTGCAAAAGGAAATGGGAAGAAGACAGAGATACTGTTATTGAAGGATTAAAACGTTTGGCTGATTATCCTGAATATATGTGGGTAAGTGTTAAGTATCCTCCTCTAGTATCGACTGCTAGAAGTGAAATGGTGACGGAGGTGCTCATGTGGTACTGTAGCCTTATGTTTCAGGAGAAGGTCTGCTCGCTACTTTCTTCAGGTGTTGTCAAGGAAAACCTGTGCTTTGTTTCAGGAGGTCTTTTGGGATACGCTGGTAAAGTGCTCTTTGCCTGTTGGTAAGAGAAGTCATTTGGGAATCAGTTCAGAAGCTTGCATAGGTGATTAGAAGCTTGATGATCATTTATAGATCAGGCTTGTGTAATACTTGTTAATTTTGTCTGAACTTATTTTTACCTCTTAAAAAAAAAATAACAGCCCATATTTGACTACTAAATCAGTATAACCTTAAGCTACATTTTCTGAGGTAGGCTAAAAAGACATAAATGAAAAAGCCTTTTCTGGAGAAGTGAGTGAATTTGGGGGGGAAGGGCAGCGGGGGAGCACAGACCATGGATTTTCATAGGAAGTTCTTGTTAGTATGTTCATTGGTCTGTGAAATTACAGATTTCTCAAAAAGTCTCTGTGAGAACATATGGCAAGCTTACACCTGCTTTTGCAGTTATGCTTTTCCTTTTTATTTTGACTTTACTTGAAGTCAAGGGTGAAACATCTATGTTTGATTATGTGCAACGTTGTTAGATTTTACTGCAGCAACACAGTGGTATAATCAGCCTATTAACCTTCTTTTAGCTTTGAATGTAAACATTTTGATAAATTTACTGGTTTGCTTTTATAGCAGCACATATAATGTACAGTTATTTGATTCATAAAACATTTTAAGAGGCTTTTTGTGCATTTTAAGTGGTTTTTCAATATTATTCAGTACAGCTTGTTAAAATGAATACTGAAATAGTAAGCCTTAACTAGTACATTGTGAATGCGTCATTCGTGATTTTCTATCGTTACAAAGATGTAAGAATCTGGAGAATTTATTTTAAAATACTTAATTGCTTGAATATATGGATATGAACTACATTTAATATATCCTCCTGATTAGTGTTGAGGAAAAAAAAAAAGAGGAAAAAAAGAAAAAACCCTATCAATTAAAAAAAATCTCAAGACTGTACTTTAGTTGCAAATCTATACATTTTAATGATTCTACGACTGAGAACTGAGGACTAGTCTCTAGGGAAAACAATGAGAAAATACAAACGCAAAACGTAGTTAGCAGTGATTATTTAAATCAAGACTTCCTGCTTGGTAATTTAAATCATGATTAAAATTGACTTGAGTAAATCAATCGCCTAATTTTTGTGCATTCTGAATGCCACAATTAGGGCTGTCTGCACCACCTGCCTTCGTGAGGTCTTTCTCACACGTGCACTGCGGCGCAGTCTGTACCTCGCTCCCATGCTTGGTCCGGAAGGATCACTGCGCCGTTGAGTAGAAGAGGGTGAGAACTGGGTGTAGAGGGAAGAGCTTGCATTGGAGACTGGGGCTGAGATCGCGGTGTTACACCCTGTACCTTTTGCTGTCCTCACTGCGGGGTGGTGGTGGTTGGTCAGGTTTTCATAATGAATGTGTCCTCAAGGGCCACATGAAGATTGCGGGACCGGTTCCTGTCCTCTCCTTGTGCTCTGGCAGGTCTAACTCTCGTGTCTGTGGCTTTGCAGTTTTAACATTCGTTTAACTTACCTTTCGTGGTGCACAGTATGTGGATACGCTACAGAGAAAAAGTCAAGCAACCACAGTACTGACAAACAGCAGATGTATAACGATGCGTTCGACAAGTCTTTCTTTTGGATTCCAACATTACAGCGTTGCATGATGCTGCTGTGAGAGAGTAGTAGCAGCCTGCCCTTCTCCCCCTCCATTGCTTGCCTGGAATGTGGAGATTTGTGCGTTCGAATGCAGCAATATTTCTGTTGCTGGCATGATGGGAATGATGTCCACCTTTCCAAAAGGCCAGGGATAACAGAAATTCACCACAGGGCCCTCAGAAGGGTTTTGCTTTTGGCTTTGCATTGCTTCTGGTCTCTATCTTAACTAGAGCAGAGGCAATATAGGAGGCTGAAGAAGGACAGATCCATGTTTTGTGCCGCTTGAATTCAGTATAGGAGGATTTAAGTCTTTAATAGTTACTCAGGATACCAGAGTCAGACTGATGCCTTACAAGATGAACAAGGTAAAGGTTTTAGGGAAGGGCACTGGTTTTTATGAACACAACTGGTACAAATGCAAAAAAAAAAAAAAAAAAAAAATAATCAGAAGAGCTTTTAGACAAACAAGTCTGTCTCCAGATGAGTAATTCTGGTTGTACAGTACAAATTTTAAATGAAGTAGCTAGTAATTAATGTGGGTTTTTTCCTAAAGTCGTCATGTACTGATATTTGGATTGCTTTTTCTGGTTTGTAGGTTAGTCCCATCACCAGCCAGCCAAAGCCTTCAGGGTTTTTTCTTTTTTTAAGTAAAAGTTTCAGGTGTAACCACTTAGACTTCTTGTTGCCTTGAATTTGGTACCAGTGTTGTTAAAATCAAATATAATTGTAAATGAGTTGTGAGGCAGTGCTTATGCCTAATACTTCATGAACAAATGAGACAACTGAAGTGTGTGCGTATGCATGGATGTACGTTTATCTTACACAGATTTTCAGTATTCTGCTTGGTTTCTTTTGATCTTAAGGTGTCCTTGGTTTTGCCTTTTGTCTCATTGTTCTAGTTTCTCCTGTACTGTGAAGGAACTCGTTTTACAGAGACCAAGCATCGTATCAGTATGGAGGTAGCTGAATCCAAGGGGTTGCCTAAACTGAAATACCACCTGTTGCCCAGAACCAAAGGCTTCACCACTGCTGTCCAGTGTCTCAGGGGAACAGGTACTGGCAAACCGCTACTTGTTCTTTGCATTATTTGTAATGTGTTGTTTAGTATACTCTGTGTAGCACAGCGTAGTATACTCTATTGTTCATTACATTCATTACAATTAGTGAGCTGGCAGTAATAAGCATTCAGCATGTCAACCGTTAATTTGTAAATTGCCACATAACTCTTAGATAACAGTCTTAAAAAATAATAAACCTTCCCTATGTCATTGTTGCTTAGTTCATCAAGTTGTCTTGCTACGTAGATGGGAATGTCAGGTGGCTGCTACAGATAAATACAACATGTAAACGCAAAATAGTGAAGGACTCTGCTACCTGACATCATTAATGCAAGGCTTGCCCAAGGCTCTGTTGCTGTCTAATGCAAGGATGCCGGCAACGTGGTTGCTAGAATTGCTGCTATAACAGCCATATTTTCTTTTTTGCAACAGTTTCAGCAGTGTATGATGTAACACTAAATTTCAGAGGAAACAAGAACCCGTCTTTATTAGGAATTCTTTATGGAAAGAAATATGAAGCAGATATGTGTGTAAGGTGAGCATATAATGATGGAGGTGAGCCCTAAGATGCATGCTTTGGCATGTTGAACCATATTCAGATTTTACAGTAGTCCCCTTTTCGTCGTCCTTCAAGTTTCTCTGCAGGTCACAAAGACCTCCCTGTTTCCCCCCCTGCTTCAGTTCACTTTTGTGTGAGATCTCGTGATATCACCTGGCAAGTCAGAGAGCACTGGACAGACTTTTTCAGCCTTGGGTATGACCGCACTGTCATCCCAGGGCTTCCCTGTTTTGTGCAGTGAGGACACTTGCCTGCCTTTTTCCCTTCTCTGCTGGGAACAGAAAATCAACTGTTCTGCCCCCTTCCCAGTCCCCTGCGAGCATACGCATAGTATAAATAGCCTGTCCAACTTCAGTAGTTTCTTGTAGTAAATAGTACAGCTCCTTTACTGTGCCAATTTCTCTCCTTCTCGCACATGGTTTCATTAGCAAATTAGAAGCTAAATAATGCTGAAATTCAGACACTGGATGAATGAGGTGGGACGTTCCTCACATTCCTCATTACTCTCTTGCCTGAAAGAGTAACTGCTAACACCTAACTCCAGCATGTACACACGTGCATGCACACACACACGTGCTTTCTCCTTGTTGCTTTCTGCTTTAGAGGCTTCCTTGTGATCATAAAAACTACCAACCCTTTCCTGTTTAATTTCTTCTTTTCCCTTTTATGTTTGGATCTGACAAACGACCTGGTGGTTCTTTCCACAGTTCTTTTGACAGTTCACTTCTACTTCTCTGAGGACTTCACCCACACTTTGGAAAACATTGCTACATTCTGGTGATGAGGCTGATGTTTGTTTTTTAAAAGGAAAAAAAAAAAATGCAGCCTTGCTCCCTTCCCCTCTGGCCCTGGGTCTGTGCGTTGCAGATGCATGGCACTGGCTCTATACATTGTCCTTCTAGGGAAAGCAGGTGTGTCTTGCTGGAACCTCCAATGGTAAAAGATGTTATGGGGAATCACAGTGATTATCTGTTGTGTTGAGGTATAGCAGCAATGGTTTTGTGGAAGAAATGCTGTCCCGGGGGAGGCAGAGTGCTGCAGCCCTGACAGGGAAGGGAAGGACACGTGTTCCAGTTCTGTTCTCAGATACTGCAACTTCCACAACACTTTAGTCTTTCAGTTGGAAGGAAGGCTGCAGAGGACATGAGGAGAGAGGTGGGGTCACTCATTTGCAAGGGGTTTCATTTTGACAGTTTACACTTGGCAGACACATTCCTGATGAGGAAAATGAGCAGGCAACTTAACCAGCTAGCAAAACAGCTGGTCAGGGGCTTGCCACCTGGAATGCCATACTGATGGCAGATGTGTGTAGCATGTCTAGCTGGATCTGAGGTACACACACATGGATGTACAACTGTATAATTATACATTGAAGAGTGGCTGTATTCAGTTAAATATCCTGTGGCTTGCTAATGGACTTGCAAGTTGTTTTTATTTATTGGTGAGGTAGTGGGAGGAAAGAAGAGAAATGTAGTTTTCAGTAGTTGTTAGTAGAGGTTCGTGTTCATAAAATTCTGTTGAGGATGATATTGCCGGGTAAAATTACTAATTGTACCCTATTAAAGAAGCTAATGACTATATTCAGATAATTTTGATTTAAAATATGTTTGTGGATTGAATCAACATTCTCAAGATGCTTTTCTACACTTGAGGCTTTTTCTCTGTTTTGGAGAGGACGCTATGAGAATAAGAAAACTATTTTTACAGTCTTTTTGCTGAAAATCAAACATGTCCTTATTATGCCAGCAGACTTAGCTTAGCTCAGAGAAAGGAAGCCCGTAAGCTCTTGTTCTTGGTGTATGCGTATGCAGTTACCTGTGCAGAGGTAAGCAGCTTAGCGCTCTGCGGAGGATCCAGTCTTTCTCCCGACTGGCTCCAGCAGATGAATTAC